ATTAATTTAAATTTCTTTCCGTTCTCCATACCCATCTTCTTGTATCAAATAATAGCTGTGGATTCATTGGTATTAAGTGTATATGTTTGAAGCAGTGCAGGAAATCTTTAAAACTTATGAATTTCTCTCCCCTCTGTGGCATTAGGCCTTAGTATCTGATTTGCTATATAACACCTTGTGTTATATATAGTCAATATAGGCACAGAGTTAAATTTTTTTAACATTTTCTAATGGTGGTGTGCCTCGTGATTTTTTTCATGAAAAAAGTATGCCTTTGCACAAAAAAGATTGAAAAACACTGCCCCAAATTATGTTACTGACATAACTTACAAATGTAAAGTTAATAACTAGTTTTGTACAGGTTTCCAGCCAAAGTTATAGTCGGTTGAATTATTTTAAAAACTGGACAAACCGGTTGATTATGTTACTTTCCTTAAATAGGTCAAGCAAATTGACATGTCATTTTGCTGGAATACATTTTTGGCAACTAGGTATATGTAGTTATTGAAATCTGATCTGGGATGTGCAGCTTCTTTAGAATGGCACTGACAAGAACAGTGAATGTGTCTACTTTCTTTTCATTTGTGAGTCCAAATAGCTACATTTTCCTATTAATAATATAGTCAGAATGAAGGAACATTAAGACATTTCACAAACAGCACTTAGATAACAAAGTTGCTTGGATCCATTTTTGCAAACTATAGTTAAATGAATTTAAATGCATGGATGGATTTCTAGAAAAAAATATATTTTGTAAACATTTAGAATCGGCTATAATGCCATATCATAATCTATGTCCCTAAGACTGAGAATCTTGTTAATAACTGCAAAAATGTTAGCTATTCAACTAGTTGCGTTTGTAAAGTTGTTTTCCTTACCAATTTACCAGGTTTATTTTAAAAAATCCTTTATTTTTAAAGCTATAGAAAAATAATAATTAGAACTGTCAATAGTTTAAATTCTTATGAACATGTCTTTTGAAACATTTTGCAATTTATTTTTCATAGATTGATTATGAACAACACATGTTTTTTGATGATGCAGATCCTCAAAAAACTGATTGTCCTGACAGACCAGCTAATAAAGGAAAATCCAATTTAAAAGACATTAAAGAATTAAAGAAATCAGACCACCAAAGAAAGAGTGTTTCTATAAATAATATAGATGCTACTTCTGAGTGCCAACCATTTTTAGAAGGAATGCATGAGAAGATGCACAGGTATAATAATTGGTTAAATACTTAAATGGACTATTATTAAGTATTTTTACTTTGGGGAAGGCAATTTTATTTTTATATATCCAGTTTAAAGTACTTAAAATGTACAATTCCAGTTAAAAATTCAGATATGTTTAAACCTTGGTAAATTCTAAATAATTTCTAGAGGAAGTCCCGTTTTGGTTAATTGCAAGGAGAAGTTTTGAGCTGCTTTCAAAATATGCTTTGTAATTTCAAACCATTTATTTGTCGGCAGATTTAATGATAAAGATAAAGAATATGAATCTTTGCAACTGGGAATTTGCACATACCATTGCTCATCTTCAGAAGCAAATACCAAAATTGAGCAAGTGAGGAAGAGCCAGAGGATTGCCAAGAAAACCAGTAAGTATTGTTTTTGACGGTCTGTTTATAGCTAGAAGGCAAAGTGTATGAGTTCATATTACAATGTACAACTTTGTATTAAAATGTGATTTTTTTTAAAGTTTGCATTGTTTTGGGGGAAATGGTTTAAATTAAAAGTGGAATTTCATTAAGACAAAGGAAGAATTCTCAAGGGGAAAACAACTGAAGAAGCTTGGGAAATTTTGAAAAATGACATTACAAAAGGCCAGTCTAGTACTATACCAATGAAGAAGAAAAATAACAGCTCCCCAAAGAAACCAGCATGGCTACATAAAGAACTCTGACAAATTGAAAGACAAAAAAGATAAGTGTAAAAAGTGGAAAGAGGGGGACATAACTCAAGCAGAATATCAGCAAAGAGCCCAAGCCTGTAAAGATGAAGTGAGGAAAGGTAAGGCTCACAATGAAGAAAGGCTTGCCACAAAAGTAAAAAATAACAAAAAAAGCTTCTTACAACATGTTAAAAACAAGAAAAAAAGAAAAAAGGGACAGAGAGAGAAAAGGAAGGAAAGAGAGAGAGAGAGA